TCATAAGTGGTCCTGGACTAAGCACCAACGCCTGAGGGCCATCAAGGAAACCGGTGGAGGCAAAAAAAGCCAACGTAAAGTCGTATTGCAGATAAACCGGAAGTACTTTCACAGTTGAGAATGATTGTTGGTCAAAGCCTAACAAAGTTGCGGTAAGTAAAAGACGGAAACTAAGACTAACTAGATAAAGGTAGAAAAGCGTCTTTGAAAATGACAATCGTGATTTTAGAAGACTGTCATTTTGCACAATGTAGATTAGATATTTAGAGGAAATGGTCAGAAGAGAGGAGACTGAGAAAAACGGAATTCTGCTAGTTTTTGTGTCTTCTTCAGCTTTCACTTGAAATGGTTTAACGGCGTTTTTAGTAAGAACCCACATGTTGAGTTTGAAAAGTTAAAAGTTAAATATTTTTATAACTAAAACTATTTTGTAATGTAAAAATGTTGCAAAAACTTTGGTTTTCTTTAAGTCTAAAAAGTAAATTGCGCAAAATAATTTTTATTTTAAGATTGTGCAGCATTTCAAAAAATCATTAAAATGGTGTATAAATAAAAACTGTTTTTTGTGACTTCTATACAGTAATTTGTCAATTTTTTAACTGCTGATTTAAAAAACAGTCTAAAGAATATTTAACAAAAAAAATGAATTGCTGGTGTGTTTTAAAATTGTCATTTTATATTATAAATGTTTGCAAAAACAGCAAATACATTAAATAACTTTAAACTTTTTATTTCATTTAAAAATGTCGTTTTTTAGTTTTTGTATTTAAAATTGTAGCAAATTTTAAAAAACAATGCTATTGAGCCAACAGCAAATTAGCAGAAAAAAAGTAAAAACTTGAATAAATAAAACAAAACTGTTAAAAACAAAAAATGTAAATAAAAAGTTATCATTCTTGAAATAATCCTAATTACCTCAAAAAGTGCATTTTTGGTGACTTTTGCCATTGGTCCTACTGTGAGAGCAAATTTCTCGTTGTCGTTCAGTGTCAGGTAGTGCGAGTCAATCTTTAGTTTTAAGAAAGGTTGAGCATTTCCAGTTAGGCGCAATTGTGAGCTGAACAGTAGGTTTTTAGAGGGAACATGAATTAGCTCACTAAAAATCATCAACGGTACAGTTGTGAAGGCGCAGAAAATAACTTGCAATGCAATGACTCCACTTAAAAGCATTTTTTCTTTGAAAGCGAGAGTGTCAGATTTTACAATAAACGATGCTAAGGAGTATATGTTTAGACCAAACATGGAGGTCATTGCGACGAGAAGAACAGTGGAGAGAAATTCACGAAATTTTTACAAAATTTGAAACCACTGACGTCACACTTGGTGTGTTTTAAAGGTATTTTCTTTTGTTTTATCAATTAAAAAAATTTTAAAAAATTGATATTTTATAAACTTTTATTTTTAAAAATGGTTTTAAATACTTGTAATTAGCTTTGAAACATTGAGAACAACTTTGCAGCAAAACATTAGATTTGTGGCGTAAAACAAAATAAACTAAGTGGGAAAATTAAGAATGTTGTTATCAAAACTTATATTTTAACTTTACCTGAAGCACATTTTGAGATGTGACCTTGCCCAGAGGACCAACACTGAAAGCAAAAGGCTCTCCACTGGTCAGTACCTCGTAGTAGGTGGCCAGTTTTATCTTCAAAGTGGTAATCTGCGGCAGTCTATTTAGCCTCAGTTGTGCCTGGTAGAGGTACCTGGCCGGACTGCGCAACGACCTAAAAGCGACAATCATCGGCTGCGTAGCCAAACAGAGAAAAATGGTTTGCAGGGAAACCACATCGAGAAGAACTATTCGATTCTGCAGTGACATGCTCTTCAGCATCAGTGCCGTGATAATGTAAATGTTCAGCGAGAAAATGCAAAACAGTGTCCTCAGAAGAAAGGTGGACACAATCTCTTGGTTGGCGGTGAAGAACTCTCGCAACATTCGAAAGTGGAAACGCAGGTAGAAAGGAAGGTGAAACGCTAAGCTTTTTGAGGCTGCAGCTTTCATTATAACCTCGTTTTTTTTGTTTATTCTCTTCTTTTTTCCTAAAACGTCTGAAACGCCCAACATCAGCATGATCAAGCCTAGCCTTCGGTTCATCTCCCGTTGCTGACCGACAAAAACAATGATGAGCATATGAAGGATGAGAATGAGGAGAAAAACGGTGCAAGAACAACTCCAGAAACTGTAGAGAAAGAGGCAGCAGTCGAAGAAAAAGAGAAAAAGTCGAGTTTTGGAGATTAACAAGTCAGCAGAAACGGACAGTGCAAAGAAGGCGTTGTACGAGGAAAGGAAGTAGAAACAGACAAGAGCGCTGATGGTGACGTACAGCGCAAAAAGGAGATCAACGAAGTAGGCGTAAACTACAGCTCGAACTCGAATCAGATAGTCGAGATGGTTTGCGTGCGGCAGTTGGTGCCACCGGAGTCGGATCTCCTCCAAAGCGTAAGTGTCTTTCCGCACGACGGCGTTCCACAAGGTACTCCAGGTAAGTTTTTTGTTGAGTCTTAAAAAGTGAGATCGGTTTAGAAGCATCAAATCGTAGGCTAAAATGTAAACACGAAGGCCTTTGGCAAAACTGCCCAGGTAGTCGTAGTAGGCCATCAGTAGGGGCGCAGGAATAAGGACCAGTGTTAGGTGGCTGTCAAAGAAGCCAATGCTCACAAGGTAATCTAGAAAAATGTCATATTTGAAGTAGGTTTCATAGAGTGGAAAGTTCAGAGCAGTTAAGCAAAGTATAAGGCGAAAAGTGAAAATAAATTGATAGGAGTAAAAGATGAAGTGCCGTAAAATAACAAGTGCATTTGTAATTCTTCCGTATCCGTTTACTCTGTTATTTCTGTTTTCAAATGCCATAAAACTTATGTAATTGGATGTTAATAATTGAAGTGGACGTAGAAAAAATAAACGTTTTTTGAGGAATGCCGTTACAAAGAAAACACTGTTGAGTTCATTTAGATGAAGCAACATTGTAAAAAATGTTTTTTAATTTTTCTTAAACTAAAGATAAAATTTGCAATTTTGGTTTAAATAAAAACATGTCGTTTTATTTAGCTGAACATTTTACTAATAAAAAATCATTTTTAAATTTTAATTTGTTTATTGTTTGCAGTTCAAATAATGACGTCTTTTTTGTCTAATGAATGGTACATATATTTTAGCATAAAACAAAACAAATTGCAACTCTCATTAATCATGCAAAGTTTTTTGTTTATTGTTGTTTGTTTGTAGTTTGCTCTTTACTTGCAAAAGCAGCAAAACTTTTAGTGCAAAAAAAATTTAAAACAAAACCGGAAACTTAAAACATTTTTGATTTATAATCTGAAAATAAACTTTTCAGATTTTTAGTTAAATCTGTAAAGTCTAGAAATGAGCTAACCTTGAAGGTCTGTGAGTTGTACATGTACACAACATAACAGTATTTTCCTGTACACCCTGATAAATTACCACTTTGATAAACGCTAATACTTTGAAACAGTTTTGCTGTGTCTGTATGTCAATTTGCTGTTTTATCAAGCAAATAACAGCGTTTGACAGCGTAAAAAATTATAATTAAGTATTGATAGCACCGGTAATAACCCACTACCAGTACCTTTCTAGTGTATAAAAGATCATAATTGGGTTTTCCGTCTCACTAAAAAGCATCATTCGAGTCAAAATTGCAGGAAAACTGAAAAAACTGCAATTTTTAAAATGTTTCAACACTGTTTTGTGGCTTTAAGTTTTTGGTTGATTGCAGCAAATCAAGCAGCACCCCTACAGTCAAGGCCCAAACTGAAGGGAGTCATCATTAGAGTGAGTAAAAATGTTTACAATCTTGAACTTACGTTTTTCACAACATTTTTTGATTAATTACAGGCCGAACCAATCGTCTACCTGAATGGAAGCACCGGCAGCTTCACCGGCTACGGACCTGAGCTGCTGGAGCAGATTGCCAAGCGAGCGGACTTTGAGTACGAGCTGGCCCTATCGCCTGACCTCCGCTACGGATCGATTGTCAATGGCAAAATTAATGGGATGATTGGCGAGGTGGCTGAAAAGGTTTGTCAACAGTGTTTTTTAGATTGGCTCCAGTTTTTACTTACGAAAAAGTTTTTGTAGAGAGCCGACTTTGCCCTGGCCGATCTGACCATCACCGAGGAGCGCCAGGCGCTGGTCGACTTTACCGAGCCGATACTGGAGAACCAACTGTCCGCCTTGATTCACAAAAAGGACGCCGCTGGGCTGAACAGCCTAGAGGACTTGGTCAGGCGGAACCAACAACAACAAAGTGCATCATCATCATCTCCAACGGTAGTAGCCCTGGGCGTCCTCAAGGACGGCTCCATCTACGGCAAACTGAACGCCACCGCCGATAAGGTGGGTCGAGCCATCTTCAGCTCCTTCACGGCGGACACACTGGTGCCCTCCTTCTGGATGGGCGTCGACCGGGCCGGCGAGGGCGGCTTTGCCATGATCGTGGAGAGCACCACCGCCGACTACCTGACCGGAAATGGGCGTCACTGCAACCTCACCTCGCTGCCGGATCGGAGGGGACTCTTTCCGCGACAGCATGCCATTGTCCTCGCCAAGGGATCTCCGCTTCTGGAACAGTTCAACAAGGCCATTCGCCAGCTGAAGGCTGATGGAACGATGGATCGGTTGAAGGAAAAGTACTGGAGGGCGAACCGCTGCTGATCAGAGAGTGTTAGGTTTGGTCACAGTTTTTATTAACAATGCTGACCTGTGAAGAGTTTTGTTACTAAAGATTTCAAAAACTGTGCTTTCTGTGCAGAGATAAGTAGTAGTTGAGTGATGAGTGTTCAAATCAGTGAAAGTGAAGGTAATTGAAAATGGTAAAATCAACAAGTGATAACGGTTAGTGAAAAAGTGAGAGATAACGAAAAGAATCATTTCAAATGATTCCAAAAGATAGAAAAGGGAATGAGAGAAGTACCAATTTGACAGGGACAGAACCTTTGGTTAGCAATGAGCAAATGTGTGTTGGTCTTGGAGCGACCTATTTTTAAAAGGGAGCAATCTCAAAGCCGGTAATGCTCACGTCATTATCTTCCACCTTGCTGATCTTCAACTCGCGAGTCGGTCCCTCAGGAAAACGCTTTACGTAGGTGTACTTTTCGCCATTGTTGACGTCGATCTAAGAAAAAAACATCATTAAAATCTTAGTAAAGCATTTCCATGTCATCCACTAGAAAAGCTTACAAAGTAAAAGCCACCCCGCGATTCAATGGTAATGCTAAAGAAGGTGCCCCGCTTGAGGGTAATAAAGTTGCGACGCTCCTCGGGGCCCCACTCAGAGTTGGTGTACGAGTTGAAGACGGTAATGTCGCCAAAATAGCCGAAACGCACGTTCATGTGCAGGAGAATGTGTCCTCCGGAAACGATATCAATGGCGAACCTGGAAAGCAAAAATAAATCGCTGGTAAACATAAACAAACAGACAACCGATTTAATGATCACTTACTGCTTGGCAAACTTCTTGACTCGCCCTCGAACGGTGATCTTGTAGTCGGTGGCCAGCGGCGGCTTTGGAGCTGGCGGCTTAGGGGCTTGCGGCTTCGAGGTCACAAGCGGTGGAGATGAGGCCGGATTGTAGGGAGGCTGAACTGATTGATAAGGTGGCGGCGACTGCGACTGCTGGCTCTCCGGGGATTGAGCAGGCGGAGAAACATACGGCGACTGACCATGCGGGAGGTAGGGGTACTTGACTGGGTCCATGGCGGAGGGAGGGGATTTAGAACTGGAGTTGCTGGTAGACGAAAAGCCGAGCGCCGAGAATAAAAGCAGAGTGAGAGAGAAAACAGAGATGAGCAGCAGTGCTCACGCGTGATGATGCAATCAGCGGAGGCGGCTCTTTGTGTGCGCAGCAGCAGCGCCGAACACTCAAGCTCAACTTTGTGGTGTCGTTGCTGTGAAAAAAAGCAGCAAATTCTTATGTCACATTTTATTATCAAAGCTGGTGGGGGTGTTATCAAAGATCAGAATGAATGTGTTCATGGTTCAGAGGAAAAGATAAGTAGTGTAGGTGTGAGTAGTTAGAATCAAAGTGAGGAAATTAAAAAGGTATTGGAAGATGGTGATATCAACTAGTGGCGAGGGTTAAAAGTGGGGAAGATAACAAAATGCTCCAGAGGGCTTGGAAAGGGAAAGGAGAAAAGGAGATGAAGATTGAAAAAGAAAAAAGTACAATCAGAAATAGAATCATATTTTTTGGTAAGTATTGAAAAGAGTGTGGGTGTGAGAGAGAAAGTTGATCTTGCAACGATAGTCAATTTTAGAAAGGAGTAATCTCAATGGCAGTAATGTTCACGTCATTGTCCTTCACCTTGCTGATCTTCACCTCGCGAGTCGGTCCCTCGGAAATGCGCTTCTGGTAAGTGTACTTCTCGCCATTGACGTCGATCTAGAGGGAAAAAAAGTGATTAAAAACACCCTTTTAGATTTTTGTCTTTCAACTTACGTAGAAGAAGCCACCTCGCGACTGAATGGTGATGACAAAGTTCTCTCCCTGCTTCAGCGAGCGAAAGTGGCGGCGTTCTTCGGCACCCCAGCCGCAAGCGTCCGTGTACGAGTTAAAGACGGTGGTCTCTTCAAAAAGCAGAAAGCGCGGATTCATGTGCAGGAGAATGCGTCCGTTGGAGACGACGTCGATGGCGAACCTGACAGAAACAAAAACATGGTTTTAGTTGATAAAAAACAAAACTCAAGCCAACAACAGCACAATCTGATCAAACAACACTTACTGCATGGCAAAGGTTTTGACACGTCCGCGGACGGTGATCTTGTAGTCGGTGACCGGAGCTGGCGATGGCGGCGGCGGAACGTACATGCTCGGATTGTACGGCGGCTGAACCGAGTGGTACGGCGGCGGCGGCTGATGGTTTGGAGGATTACCGTTCGGCGGCGGAGCATAGGGCGTCGGCAAACTTCCCGGGTAGTAGGCGTACTTGCTCGGGTCCATGGTGATCTTTGATTTGTTTCAGGTGGTGGGCGAAGCGAGCAGTCGAGAGGAAGACGAGAATCGATGGATGAGCGCAGAGATCAAGAGAGAGAATGGAGAAGACTTCACAGAGCTCGCGCTTGAAATGATGAAATGACGAAATGGCAGCGCCTTTTCTTCCTCTGCGCAACGGCGGGGCACTAAACACTCACGCTCAACTTTCAACAGCTTAAGCAGCGACAGTGGCGGCGGCAGCAGCAACTGGAAAAAGCTGCTGATAGAAGAGATCTTCGATCGACTGAGCGAGAGAAAGAGAGATAGAGAATGCCTGATAGAGTCTGGCAGATCAACACTGAGTGAGCAAGAGAAGAAAAGGAAGAGGGAAAGAGATGAAAAACAACAACATTGGAGCAAGAGGAGTCAGAGCAACAGTTGGTTGCTGTAATGGCAACAGAGGGGAAACCAGGAAAAAAGTCCTGACTCAACTATATGCTTTGAACTGTTAGTGCTGTTTGTCAGTCTGCTTATCGCCACTTGCTTCCATCTTATCAGTTTGAGAGTCGAGTCAAGTTGCCTGGAATGACGCCTGGAAACAGCCGTTTAGGGAAAAGCAAAGATCAGATGCTAGCAACGTTAGAACAACCAGACTTTCTAATCCGTTCTCTTTCTTATCTTTTGATGATTGATTATTTCCGATTTTTATAAAATACCAAAAAATACTATAAATGTTGCAGGGCAAAATTTTGTATCTGGTCACAAAATTCACTTTTTAGTGAGATTTTTTTAAATCCCGGAAATAAACTAGTACTATTGTAACCAGTTATAAACTATTGTTTTTTAAAACAAAAATTTCTTCTTTTGATCAACAAACCTAACAGTAATTGATCAACTTTATTGAAAATATTTATCAATTAGAAAATGCTAAAAATATTTTTTCTGAATTACAATTTTAAATCATTTAAACTGCTTCTACATAACAAGGCATATCAGTATTTAAAGGTGCATTTTGTGGTTTCATGCTCTTTTGATTGTACAACAACAAAATAGTTTTTAACAAAAACAAGTGAATTGAAACAAAAAAATGCTTACTTGTTATAAATGCATATCCATTTTTTTCAAATGATAATTTGTTATTTAGTTAACCTTGAAAGAGGGGATGCAAAAGTTTGGCGAAAAGATAAAATTGCACGCTTTACTGTGATTGAAAAGAGTATGTTACTTATTCAGTATTTTTCTTCACACAGTTTAACTCTCTATTCAATCACTGTTTCACGTGTCAGACAGTCTTGTTAACAATTTTAAAAAATTGACAAAAATTCAAAATTTTTTTAGATCAAGTAATCGGCGTTTTTTTTGTTTCAGTTTTTCAAATTTTAAAATAATTTAATCAATTGTTTAAGGCAACCGTCACTCGAACTTTTTAGTTTTACATGTCTCTAATA